TTGTCTATCAATTAATTTTTGTATGTGTCATTTTCAATTTTCATTATAAGTTTCTTCACTAACCTCGTTCTTCAACGCAACATATTTTGTTGTTTTTAAAATGCTTAGCTTAACTTCCGCATTTGCTCGAATGGCAAAACATATCGCTCTTCTAATTCTTTATTTTAGACAAAAACATATATTGATACTTCAAATCTTTTACCGTCTATTTTAGGATAAGGATTTTTTTTTTCCTTATATAATCATTGCGGCCACTTCGCTGTGGCGAGAGGGATCCCTCCATTTTCTCCACCGTCTTTCCCCCTCTTCCTAATTCTTCTCCTTCTCTGATGACCAATCCTTCTATGCCTCTAGCTTGGGGCCGCATATTGGTGGACGCCCTTGTTATATGTGAGTTTCTCATTTCTCCTCTCCCTACACGGGATGAAATCATCAGGTTCCTTTCTGTTGACATTGATGAAGCTGTTGAGGAATGGAACCTTGCTCTTGTCGGGTACTCCCTTGGTAAGAGATCGTTCTATGAATCCTTGTTCAATGCGATTCAACAAGTTTGGAAGCTCAAATGTAGTCTAAAACTCATCTCCCTTAGTGGCAGTTTTTTCTTATTCAAGTTCTCTTATGTTGAAGATTATAATATGGTTTGGACTAAAGGTGCATGTTTTGTTCTTGGCGAACCATTCATCTTCCAAAAGTGGTGGGAAACTTTAGTCCGAAGAGAGATGAATTTACATCGGTACCAATCTGATTTAAAATTCACGATTTACCTCTTTGCTGCTGGACTCCAATCGGGATTTTGAAAATTGCTACAAAAGTCGGGCATCATCTAGCAGTTGACGCCCTTACTGCGTCAAAATCTAGACTAACATATGCAAGAGTCTGTGTGCAGGTAGACTCTACTGCCACTTACCCCAATTGTATTCCGATTGATGTTGATGGGAAGATTTTTATTCTAAAGATACAATATGAATGGAAGCCAATACTTTGTGCTATATGCAAAACCTTCAATCATCTCTCTTCTGCCTGTCCTTCATATCCGAACTTTGAACCACAACTTCCTCCCAAAACTCTGAGAGGACAGAGTACCAGTCGTCTCCCAAGACGTCCTTCCCATAACCCCAAAGGTATTATTCCAACTCCTTCAAATCCCCCTTCCTCCACTGCAAATCTGTTAAACACCCCCTCCACTTCCACCCTTCCACAAAATGAGAGATCTTCTCCTCCTCCTCTACCCTCTTCTGTAACCGACCCTGTTGGTTATTCCGTCTCTACATCCAAACTGTCCTATTTTATGGAAGCAATCACTAAGCCTATACCGAACTTAAACTCCCCTATAAGTGTGTCTTATTCCTATACAGACACTCTGTTCCCTCCTTCTAACCCCATGCCTCCTAAAATTATCTCTCCAAACAAATTTACAGCTTTACAAGACTCCACGTACTCTGAATCCTCTTCAGCTCATGAACTGGTTAATACAGTTGTATCCTCAAGCAAAGCTCAGCCCAAATGATTTCAATTTTGCTCCTGGCCCAAATGATTTCAATTTTGATTTTTACAAAAAAACTTGAATATTACTGGACAGACATTATGCTCAACTATCAGATATTTCTTTAGTAAGTTCTATCTTCCAAAGAGTGTGAAAGCTACTGTTATAGTTCTTGTTCCAAAAAATAAGCATGTTGAGAACATTCAAGACTTTAGACCTATTGCTCTTTGTAATGTTTTTCATAAAATCATTGCAAAGATTCTTGTTTCTCGTATGAAGCTCATCATACATGATATTATTCATAAGAGACAAGTAACTTTCATTGCAAACAGACTTCCCACTGATAATCCCATCTTGGTGACGGAGATCCTCACTCTTTGCAACAAGAAGTATAAAAATAAGTTCTTTTGTGCTAAGCTTGATATCAAGACGGCTTTTGACAGCGTGTCTCGGGAGTTTCTTTTTTGCGAGATTGGCTCAAAAAGGTTTTTCTCATATTTTCATTAATTGTATCAAAACCTGCATTAATGATACTCACTTCGCTATTTGTATTGATGGGAGTCTTGAGGGTTTCTTTAGCTCATCTTCTGGGGTTAGACAAGACTGCCCTCTTAATCCGTATCTCTTTAATATCATTATGGATGCCCTATCTTGCCTTTTTGGATGATATGAATGGCACTGGTAGATTCGAAGGGTTCGAGCTAGATGGTTTCCAAATATCTCATATTTGTTATACTGTTGATCACTTGATATTTGGTAAAGCTGACATTGGTAACTTTGAATGTCTCATGAGGATCCTAAATATTTTTTCCAACATGTTTGGGCTTCATCTTAACCTGTAGAAGAGTTCGCTCCTTTATTCTCATCTTGCTCCCAACAGTACTCATATTTCTCAATCTCTCAATATTCACAACATCTCATCCAAAATTACCTATTTGGGCCTTCCTTTATCCTTAGGAAGACTCATATCTTTTGACTTCTCCCCACTCATTGACAAAATCATCAACGTGCTTTCAGGCTGGAAAGCTTCTCTTCTCTCTTTTGTATGTATGACCCAATTCATCAAATACACAATTACTAATACTGTGGCTTATTGGATGAGAGGATCTTTATTCTTAAATCTATCAGTAAAACTATTGGGAAAATTTGTTCGAAATTTCTTTTTTATGGTGGTAGTTGCAATAAGCGTTTGCATCTCATATCTTGGTATAATACTTGTAGACCTTTTTCCAAAGGTGGGCTTGACATTACTTCTCTTCATGCTCTTAGATTTGCTTTCAACTGTGGCATCATTGCTAGATTTTATAATGTGGATTCTCCCCTTTTTTGCTGGCTTAAAATCCGGTATATATCTCCTTGGAACCATAACCATAATAATACTTCTTTATTTTGGAAGAGCATCTGTGAAACTTATAATTTGGTTAAGCACAAATTTAAGTTCCAAATCTCTCAAAACAGCAAAGTCTCAATACTTTGGGATCATTGGTTTTTGAATAATAGAATCAACCACTTTTTTCCCGAATTGCCTCTTAGCTTGATTTGTAACCCAAGAGCTGTTTTGGCCGACTGGATGCATCAGGGTAATTGGTGCTTGCCTTGAGTCTTTGAGTCCACCCATTATTGATCAAATTTTTGCTAATACAATTCTGAATGATTCATCCAAACACATTATTTGGGATAATGATGAAAATGCTAGCTTCAAAGACTTCTATTTGAAATTTTTTGCCAATGAAGAAAACTTTGATCCGCACTCTCTGGTTTGGCATAAAAAACACTCTATGAGATTAATTCTCGGCTCGCACCTGGATGGTTTTGAAAGAGGGATTGAAAACGGTTGATGTACTATCCAAAAGAAACATACATAGTTTAGATCACACATGCTCTCTTTGTCATTTTGGTTTGGAAACGGCTTCTCACTTATTTTTTGAGTGCAATTACTCTTTTAAAGTGATGACTAAATTTATGCCTTGCTTTCAAAATTTCTTCTTAAGGCCTACTATTATTCAACCTGTACAACATATTGACAGCTTACATGTTTAAAAATCTCATAAAAATGCTCGCTCCTTACTCTTGTAATGCTATGGTGTATTATGTCTGGCAAGAAATGAATAGCAGGAAATTCAAATATGTGAGTGCTTGCTTTGCCACCCTATCTAGGAAGATTTCAAGATATATCTTTCTTAAAATTAAATGTTGGAAAAAGAGGGATTCCATCATTGATAAGATGAAGATTTCTTACACCTGATGCTTGCTTTTATTACATTGTGCTATATGTATTATCTGTTGTGGGACCTGGAGCTTGCGTTGGTTGGTTTGTTGTCTCTAAGCACTTCCTGCTTTGATTATTTGTAGTTCACTGTGATATCTCTGCTGGATATTTTTAAACTTCTTGTTATATCATGCTTTGGCAACATGATTGATGCTGTAATTTACCTCGATGGTGCATTTTTTGGGCTGAGGTTTACTCTGTTGCCTGCCACTACTCCTTTTGGTTGGTTTAGCTGGGATCAATGTTATTTGGATGTTTTTTATACTTGGTGCTATTCCTCCCCTGGGTTGTGGGAGGCGAAAGATCTTCTTTGGTCTTACAAAACTGTCTGGGTTGCTGTTCTATGGATTTTCAACATACTGCCGCTGCCTTTCGTAAACTGTATAGTTGCCTCGAGAATTGCCAACAAGTTTGATTTTGGTATTTTGCTAGGCAGACAAAATTTTGGGCTGAGGAAAATGATGAAGTCTGCCAATCCTCCTTTCTGGATTGTCTACGGGCAACCAAAGGAGCTCCTAATTCATATTTATAAGAATTTTGAGTTCTGAGTCCTAGCCGTCACTGATTTTTCAGTCATTTTGTTCTCCTCTTCTTCTTGTTTTGGCCACTACTGTGTTTTTTTAATGGTTTTACTTTATTTTCTTTTCTTACACTTCTTTTTTTGTACAACTTAACTTCTTAATTTAATCTGTGCCAAGCCCTCAATATTTCAAAAAAAAAAAAAAAACATAGAGGACGATTGATAACTTTTAAGTAATTAAAGATTTAACTGGCATATGAGTAATTTTGGCTAGATGCCAAAGTCCCGAGCCAACAGAAACAGAAGAGATGGACGTTTCTATTTGTCATTATAAATCAGTTGTACAAACCTTACATCAAAAGGGATCAGTTGCGCATGTGCTTGAAGCCTGGAACTCATCAGGGCACAGTGGCCGGGATCCATAATGAAACTGGAAGAAGTTTAAGTATTGCAATTACATCAAGCTCATAAGATATAAATAATAGACTTGATCGCTACCTTTTGGAAACAACCCACTTGTTCGTTCTCTTATAAGTCACAGCCATGAACATGAACCTCAAATCAACATCAACTCATTTACTATTATCATCTCAAGTAGTTTTGCATGTAATTAATTCGCACAGGGCTGGCTTCACCCACCCACCTAATTAAGAAAATTTTGCATGCAAATGCCGTATTCAAGGTTTCATTTAACCTTCTCATTTTGAGATATTTGTCTCTAATGAGATTTTAAGCTGTGGATAGTAGAGATATTTGTTTCATGAAAAAAACAAAAGACGAAAGAAATATAGATTTGAAATTAAGAAAAAAAAGCTTACAATTAGCTTAAATATCACTGTAGAGCTAACATATCTAAAACAACCTCTTCACTAAGGTCATCAAATATAGCAGCCTCTATAACAAATCCAATCTCTCTGACTTGAGGAGGCTTGAATTGGTTCCACTCCTTCCAAGTTGAGAAATCCGAAACCAAATTGTTCACATCTCCCTTCTGCCTTTCCCAAGACAGGATGAGATCATTCATGGCCTTTTTTATCAAGTCAGTTGAGCTCTGAATACCGTAAGAGCTCCACATCTTCTCCTTTTCTTTTCTAACACAGTCAAGCGCAGGCCTGATACTGATTCTTCTTTTGCTAAACTTATTTCTTTTCTCAGCATAATTAAGAGACTTTGAATTCTGATGAACGACTTCAAATGTTATGTTGACCTTGTTCAGCGCTGCATCCATGCTTGATGTTGATCTGCACTCATGTTTAACTGCTCGAAACAATTAACATAACATATTTAAATAAAAAATGATGTTTTTTAAATGATCAATGACATTACTGATCTTTAGCATATAAAGAAACATAATTAATTATCGTACTGTGATTATGAAATGGAGAACTTTCAGCAGAGTACAGCTCTAAAATTGACACAGGACTCAGCTGGTGCTTAGATTCTTCTGAGAAACAGCTGGAGAAACTCAGTCTTCTATGCTCAATGGTAGCAGTTTTGCTATAGATAAACCTGGCCAATGTGCGTTTGAGGAAAACAGCAGTTATTCCTTCTTGTCTGCTGGTTTGTCTTATCCTAAGCCTCTTGCAAAGATTCAAAGGCCAACAGAAAGGCTTTGACTGAGATGCTATCATCCTCCCTGAGCATCCATTCTCCATAAGATAGACTTCAAGTAGAAATGGCTCCTGCTGCTCCTCAAGAAGCTTAGCCAGGCTTCTTCCTCCATGTGGAGCAGGATTCCAAGGAAATGAAGATGGCATTTCTCCAATCAGCAATGACGCCTGACTTCAGATCAAGAGAAAGGAAGATATGGTTTAAATGGAAGAGTTTTATGTGTATGTGTGTGTGTGTGTGTGTGTGTGGTGGGGGGAGGAGGAGGTGTCAGAAGTGTATAAATGCTGAGCTCTGCGTCATCTTCTAAAACAAGTTCCTGCGTTAAATCAACGCAACAACACATTTAATCAAGAAAGCATAGTATTATACAAAATTTACACTAAAAGTAGAATGATTTCCTTATATTACAAAACAACATACACTTAAAATCAATCTTCTTGAAATAAAGTTTCACTGTCTTATAATTTTTATAACATGTCTTTTTATTTTAATTAAATGTCATGTATTTTATATTCTTTTGTCAGCATCAAGCAGTAGACAAGTTTGAAACAGTAAAAAAAAGGAGAATTTGTTTAGAATTTCTATAGAACGTAGATAACCACATGCTCGTGATAAAGTGCACGTACACAATCTTGTCTTCGGCAGTAACCCTCATAGTTCCATCAAATCATAAGGAGAAAATTTAATTCCAATCATCTGATTTAAGATGGCATGCTTTACCAATTAGCTGTATAGGCTTATGAACCGGAAAAAGGCCACAGTTCACATGTTTGTTTGAAGGAATATTGAATAGTTTCATATTGACCCTCCAAATTTTTTTTACGAGCAGAAGTATTTAGATGGGACCCTACAAATTTGTCATGGTATAGTCAACTTTATATGGATGGACAAGGTGATTAGCTGTCAGTAGTAAACAGAGTTGAACGGATTCCGTGTTGGAATTTGTTTTAATTATAGTGATGGTTTGTTTTCAATTAGTTTAAGTCTATTCAGTATGAATAATAGAGGAAGAATTCTCCCCTCTTCAACATAAATACGGATGCTCACTAAGAATTCTTTGTGTAATTTGTTTTTTCATTGTTATTTGAAATATAGAGAGTTACCTATGTATATTACAATTTATATGCATAATAGTGCACTCTGTTAGCTAATTATTCATTTATATTAGCATTATTTGATTTAAAAATTACAATATTATTTCCAATTATCTAAATATATTTTAAGATTTATTTTTTTTCTCCCTTTGACTTTTTGCCATTTGGATGAGCATGAGTACATCGCAATTAAGATATTTGTTGTTGAATTCAAAATTATCCTTGAATTATACTAGAATCTTACTTGCAATCTCAATGAAATAGCACAGATAATAAGAGAGAGAAAGAAGAACTTTAGAGTAGGAAGCACTGGAATAGACTTGAATACAAAAAATTATTTATCACGAGCTCAAATTTTGACCCCATATTTATAGGTTTGAGTTAACATTCAGGCACTACATAATTGGTTACATATAAATATATAAAAAAGAAAAAAATTACATAATTAAGTTCAAAGGTTGCTTGCTTATGGAATATAGGAGAATGTAGCCTAGCTATATATGATCATCTACTAACTTCATATGAGTCTTCAAATGGGTATTTTACTTTAGTCGTTAGCTTCACAAATTGGAGTCATCAACTTGTTTGAAGAAAGTCTCTAATTCATCTAATGGAAGTCATTGACTTACTTGTCGATAATTGAAGACTTATTTATAGGAAATTACGGGCTTGTTCGCATAAAGTAGCCAACTTATCTTTAGAAAATTTCCGACTTATCTAAAGATAGTTTCCAACTTATAGGAGTTTGTTGACTTATATGAAGGAATTAACCAACTTAAAAGGTAGGAAATTGGTGAATAGCTTATGGTCTAAGATTAACATGTTCGAATGCATCGATTGACTTCTCCATGATTTGAGGAGTCCTTCATCAGCTTGGTGAGTTCAACAAGAAGATCTCAAGTTCTTCATAAACTTAAATTGGGTCGACTTAGCTTGAACCAAGCTCTTGAAATATGAGTGTATATTTAATTCTCTTATATCTTTTAACATATTATTATAAAAAGAATAATAGAATAAATTAATAATGAATTTTCTTTTTAAAAAATGAACATTTAATAATTAGTCACAACTAATGATTTTGATTGTGATGTGATTTTTCCTTATGCCGCATCAGTGACTCTAAATCTTACAATACGAGGTCTAGGTATCTAGCTATTTATATGTTTATTCTTCCTTTGCCTTTGTTTTCTTCTTCCTCTGCCTTTTTTGTTAAAATCTTGGAATTTCCTTTTTGAAAATTGTTCTCAAGGATAAGATAAATATTTTAAAAGAAAACATCATTGCCAATATTTTTTAAAATTGTAAAAAAGAAGAGGTTTTCATTGAAGGAAAATATCCGAATGAATGTGAGATTGAAACTTGCTAAGATTAAAAAAGTGATTAAAGCTAAAGTCACCGCCACTAAGTCATTGATAATTTTTAATCACCGAGTGATTGTTATGCTTTCCTTATTACTATTGGTAAATAACATGTGATGTAACAATGGAAAGGATGGAAACGAGGACAAGAGTAACACAATAATGTAGCATGAAAAACTATAGAGAACATTTCTATCAAATGTAAAAAATTCTTGAGTGTCCTATGGCCTTTAATTCTATTGTAGCAATACTATATCAAGCCGCACAAACAAAAGAAAGGGAAATGTATTATTGTAATTATAAAGAGAATAAAGTTGAAATAAAGTAGTGGAGTAGCAAGCACGAGGTGTGGTGTCCCTAGGATGTAGCATACGGTGTTCCACATCAGCTCTCCCCCACCACCGAAGAGTTTGTTCCTGTTGAACTAGTGATAGTGGTTGAATCATCTAGAGGATGATAACTATATATATATATATATATATTGAAAGTTTATGAAGTCTGGATGTCAGCAGGGAGGTCAATAACATGCGCGTTATCAACCATAATAGAGCGTTGTGTTTGGTAATTTGGTTTGTGGTAATCCCTTAACAAAATATAGGTTGAGATCCTCCCAAATTAAGTCTGGCACTGGTAAGGGCGTATATAGGTCTTCAAAAGGATGCTGCTCGTGAGGATTAAAATGTAAAGGGTATAATCATACTATTGCGTAGGACAAAATAATCGTAGGTCTTTACACTATACAAGTAGATCAATGGAAGAGCATAAGAGATCATAGATACAATTCACTATAGAGGATAATGGCTTTCGCCTACATACCTTGATGAGTAATAATATATGACTCGATAATCATGAGATTTTCTTTATTTGATACATTAGCTCAAATGTGATTTATTTGATATGGGTATCGATTTCCCACAGGCGCAAGCCCCCATGATTAATTACATCTTAGGCCTCGATCTAAGAATACTCTCGACAATGGGTGCTATATTATTCTCTTCGTGATTTAATGCATAGTGGGGTGTCTAGGTTCTCATAATCCAAAGAAAGATAGGCTCGATTAGGTTATTCAACATATAAGGATCACATAAGCACTCGATTGGTCCAAAGAAGAGAAATCAAGGGAGGAGACATCACGGTCGAGGCATGCATGAGAGAAAGATGGAAGCAACACCATCAGTGTGATGCAGATGTGTGGAATTTATAGTTTCCAAAGAGTGGAGAACCTACCCAACGATAAGGCAAACAATAATATATACCCATACCGCCAGCCTTTAACCCTAGATCTATGAAGGATGTACCATACACTAAGTATTAACATTCATGACAATAATAATACAAGACATTGCAAGTGGACTTATAATCTAAACCCCACTAGGGATATAGGCAATCCAGACCTGGATTTATCACCCTTCTAGAAAGAGGTACCAACTAAACTCCACATAGAGTATCAAATATATGCAGTCCGATCTTACGCAAATAGAAGAGTGGTGGGAGGCACAAAAGAGAAATGGTTATTATATGCAAAGTGAAATATCAATCTATGTTATAACACAAAATCTGTATGCTTTGACTCAAGCTATGCAAGCATGGGTAGGGCTAATCAAAACTAGTCATTGGTCACTTTAAAGTAAATATTGTTTGAAATATTTATTACATTTTAAAAAGTAACACACAAGGGATCATGCATTAATTATTAAAAATGGGTTTATTTTAGCTTATATGTTCATTTTATCTTGATTAAGTAAATTTTAGTTTTATAAAAAATTTAACATCCTAAAAAGTCTAACATTGACTTCGTTCGAGCTACCCTTAAGCAAATTAAAATAAGAAACCTAAAAAAAGTATGAAATTTTAATGTGCAATCAAAATAAACACACCAAACATTAAATAATAAGTAATAATTAATGGCTATAAATACAACTCGGTTCTGCAATATACCCCATAAAAATTAAAAAAAAAGGCAGCTGAGCACTATCGTAATTACAACTCAACCTAGATCTATACAAAAACGAGATGGTGTATGTGCTGTATGGGGCCTTGATCTATTTCAACATGTTTTGGCCCCCTGCATAATTCTGAAATGCCCACACACATACAAAACTTTCCTAACTAAAATTGCATTTGAAAATTAAAAAAATACATATTTACCCTACAAAATAAAGGTTATCATAATTATAATAATAGTCACACCATCAGCTCCATTTCAACCACGTGTATACAATTTGACTCAGCAGGAGGCCCGGGATCCTCCATATGTTGTGACATGTACGATTTATATTTCTGAGCATCCATATTATGTTTTATTTGATTCTGGAGCTAGTGATTCATTTATTTCCAAGCATTTCTTTGATTCACTACATTTGGCTTTAGTTGCACTACCTATTTCCCTTTTATTTATTTTGCAGGCTGGAGATAGTATGATAGCCGGTAGATTTTGTTTCTTTGATATTGAAATTTTTTATAAGCAGTGGAAATCCAATTTGATTTTATTACTGATTTCTTCATATAATGTTATTCTGTATATACATTGGATGAGTCAGTATGTGGCTCCAATTGATTGCTTGAAGAAGCGAATTACATTATTTATGGGCAATGAAAGTTTTGTTTTCCAAGGAGTTAGAGGTGTTTTATCTTAGTTAATATTTACGTTAGAAGCAAATAAATTATTGTATAAGGGTTATATGGTATTTCTAACATCAGTTCGGGATAAGAGTATTGATGTAGGTTCTCTTTCTAATATCCCAATAGTATAAGATTTTTCATATGTATTTCTTGAGGAGTTAGTTAGTTTACCTTTGGACAGAGACGTAGAGTTCTATATTGATATATTTTCAGGTA